CAACTAATCGGTCAAGACAAACCGTACGGTTGACACTACAACCATTCCAATGGGTTTTTCAATTCCATCTAGGTTGTGAACCAACGATTCTTGTTTCGCAAGTAACTGATATAGTGATCTTCGGTACGCCCGATGACGACCCACTTATCTACATGCATAACAACAGAACGTGGAACTTATTTAACCAAACATAATTCTCATTCATCAAGGAACAACAAGTGTAATATCCACTAAAGCAAAGCTTAAGTATATAACACCAACAAGTCGCCTAATCCTTTCGCGCATAGGATACCCGCGCCTGTAGTGTATTCGCGTGCCATCGCGAATCCCCGTCGCTGCCGCCATCTTCCCGCGCGTGTGTGCCCAGTATTCCTAAGCCCTCGAGGCTTAGGGCCCTGCCCGCGTTCCTGCCAACCGCGCGCCCAGCGTGTGTCGCGTCCTCGCCGCCCAACGCCCGCGCCTCACTGCCAACTCCCGTGGCCCATTCGCCTGCCACGCACTCATGTACGCCCGATGCCATCCGCGAGCCGCTACCCTCCGTTGCCGACTCCTCCGACAAGCACCATCGTCCGTCGCTTGCGCCAACATCACTTGCCCGTGTACCGTCTCGACCCTTCGATCTCTCGCGCGCATCACGACCCGATGCGCGTTCTTCGCTCGTGCTCGCACCCTTGTCGCCACCCGACTCCAAGTGCTCGCCCGATTCCTTTATCTCTCCTGACAGCCATGGATCCCATCCATCCAACCCAATACAATCACCAGCTCGCCAAATCCAACCATCCTCCATTCTACTCTTACCTCTCCTTCGAGCCACCATCTTGCGAACTCGTCTTTTCCTTGCACAAGTCTTGCACCAACACTTCTCTTCTTTAGCTTTTGCCTTGTGTTTCCTTCGAGTCCTTTTGGTCCTGCGCTTCCTGACCTTTGACTTCAGCTTTGGGCCACAACCTTTTGGCCAATCTCGTACACATGATGGCCGGTAAATAGGACTAGATGGCGCCTCCAACATATTTTCCAACCAAATATCGAGGCCATCGCCATCATCATCATCGGACTCACCGGGGTTGATGACCACTTCCGTATCACGCTAAGCGTGCGCGCTGGCGTGCGCTGGGGCGCTGTGATGAAGATCGCGTGTCCCGGATATAAGATTGCCTTGA